TATTATTAAAATATTAATTATAAAATACACAAGGAATAAGTAAAATTGAGTAATATTTAATCACATTCATGATTAAAAACGTGATATTTGAAATTATTTGAAATAATTTTATATTAACTCATGTGTTTTAATATTTCAATTATTAAAATAATTTTATCACATTCATGATTAAAAACGTGATATTTGAAATTATTTGAAATAATTTTATATTAACTCATGTGTTTTAATATTTCAATTATTAAAATTAAAATTATAATTAAAATTGTTAATTGAAACAATATTAATTGTCTATATTATAACCAGTAAAGTTATTTAGAATAAGACATAATATAACTTTTTAGAAATAACAGAAAAAAAAAAGAAAAAAAAACACAGCAAAATATAAAGATAAATATAGGTTAATAAGACAACCATAGGATCATTTTAATTACGAAGTAACTATTTTCTATTGAGGGTAGTACTGACATTTCAGATTTTAATTATATGCGGTTTGATGAGATAATAATGATGTTAATATTACACTTATGTCCTTAGAAGGTAAATCTCTGGAAAGTAATATTGACTTTTCATTTTTTTTTTTAAGAAATGACACATCCTTTTAAGACAGTTATAGATATAGATTATAAATAGATAGATAGATACATATATTATAGATTATAAATATAGATTATAGTTATAGATGGAGTAGTAATATTTTTGACTAATGTGCTCCTTTTTTTTCTTTTTTTTTTTTTGCAGTACTTTAATATTAACAACCCCTATATATTAATCAAGAACGCGCTGAGCCTACGTGTCTGCTTCTGGTGCTTCAAAATCCTATGTTGCAAAATTACATGCTTCGTTATTAGGCTTGGGAAATTTTAATTTAATTCCAAACCAAAAATAATTAGGTCCGGATTACCATAAATATGTTGATTATTTATGGTCATGTTACATATATTAATTGCATTTCAATATCATTCCTTATTATAACTATTGAATTGTATATATATTTTAAAAGTTAATAACTTTTGTATTTTTTATCAATTTTTAATTTTTAATATATCAAATTAATTGTCTTTTGAAGAGCTTCGATTTAACATCCATATTGTACGTATAAAGAAAATAATTTATATTTACCTTTATAACAATAATAAAATTATTTTTAATATTAAATAAAAAAATTAAATTATTTATCAACTAATATATTTATATTTCAAGTAGTTATATGATATAAGTTATAAAAACTAATATAATATAACACATGTAAGTCATAAGTAACACATATCATTTTAAAATATAGAGTAATATATATTTTTTTTTGTAAAAAAGTAAACTAGATTTTTATAGTTTTCTCACTAATTTTAAAATTTAAGAATAATTTTATAACAAGCACCAGTGTAATACACGGGTGTTATACTAGTTGATTAATACAACAATATTATTTCCAAATTACTAAACGTAAGCAGCGATTTTTATTTATGAATACCCAATAAGTTGAATTTTGATTATGAAAAGATGGTTATATACTACGTGATGGTAGTTGGAAACACCCCCCATTTTTTTCTTTTACCTACGCGATTCTGCTTTTCTCATCTATAGTGCTACTCATGGTAACTTTATTATGCATCCGGGCAATTTTAGTCCTATTAGTTTGATCCAGTGGCATTTTTGGTCCTAATATCTGAACATTTTGTTATTTTGTACTGTGATTTAAAATTTTAACGAAATTTCAATCATTTGAAGACTAAAATTTCAATAAAATTTTAAATTACAGGACTTAAATTGCTAATAAAAATCTTTGAGATGAATTTTTTATTAGCAATTTAAATCCTGTAATTTTAAATTTTGTTACAATTGCAGTCCCAAAAGGACTAAATTTACAACAATATACTAAATTACAGGATCAAAAGGCGAAAAGTTGAAATTTTGAGAATAAAAATGTTGTAGCGTTAAACCAACCGAACTAAAGATGCAATTTTGTCGAATGCATCTAGACCATGTATATATGCACAAAAAATGGAAGGTTCATATCTACTCTATTTCCTACTATGTAGGATTGCATGTCGGCAAGGATGACTTTGAATGCAAATTTATGAAGTTGGCTCCCTAATGAAACTTAGATTGGATTGATGATAGCAATGTAGAAACTGTAACGATCGAAAATAGGACCAAAAAGAAAATTAAATGTCCAGTCCAACTACAAACGGACCACACACATCAAAACATTTGCAATAAGAAGAACCATCTAATTCCTTGAACCAGAAGCACCACTTAAACAAAAAAAAAA